CACAGATTTCCACCTAGATTGGCAGAGATTAAGGAGTCTGATAATACCAAATTGTTGAGGATGTGGTGGGAGTATAAACTGAGACAACCATCTTCAAAACTAATCTGGCGTTCCTTATCTCATAGATCTGAACATCTGCACATCCTACGACCCACGGTTGCACACTCAGGTCTACACCCTCAGGCATTAACTCCTGTGCCCCAGGAAACACGCAGGATGCTCACTGCAGCACTTCCCATAACACCACAAAGTGAAAACAATTCCAGTCTCCATCTACAAGAAAATGGACAAATACATCCTGCTACATTCATGCAACAGGCTATTACACAAGAGCCACAATAAATAAACTATAATCAAATAAAATAATAAGAACTTGGATACATAGTGATGAACAAAAAAGCCATTCACAGATAAGAAACATACATACGATGCATTTTTATAAACGTGGAAAACAGGCGTAACTAAACGATAGCTTTGTGTGTACATAGACACACACACAGCAAAACCCCATATAGAATAATGGCCACCAGGAGACTGAAGCTGGCGGCCACGCTGGTGGGGAACTGAGAGGACAAGATGGGATGGTGAGGTAGTTATAACAACACTGGCAATGTTCTAAACTGTAGGTGGGCTGACGGGTTCATTCTAGGATCACAGTCTTTGGTATGTACACAGTTTACGTAGTTTTTAAAGTGGGGAGAGAAGAACACAGGGAGAGAGAGATCCGAGTAAAGCTATGAGACGTGACCACCGGGCAGAGATGTAACTGTAATCCTCACCCATGTCTTTCCCCCATCACTTCTGTTTCACAGAAACATTGCCCCTACTCCCTCAAGGACCAGCTTGCTCTTCACGTATTCCTGGCCCAGCCTGGACCTTCCAACACAGCCCCTCCCTACTGGAAAAGTCAGCCCTTGGTCTCACCTGAATGCTTCACAGTGGTTGACCCACTGACCACTCCCTGCTCGCTGCTCCTCCCCCTTCTCTGCCTATGACATTACTGTAGCCACCTCCCCACACGAGAAGCTCCGCTCACTTAATGTCATGTACACTGTCCCCCCAGAACCCCCAGGAACCTGCTCACTGGCCCTGCTCTCCCACCAAGGGCTGACTTGACTACATGCCCAGGCAACTCAGACATAACAGATTCCAAGGGGACTCATCTCTTCCCAATGTGTCCTGTCTCCCTTTTCACTAACCCATCCAACAAGTGATAAAACCCACTGGTTAACTCAGAAACCCTCCCTGCGACCCTCTCATCTACTGAGATAATCCCAGAACTGGGACATCTACTTCTGGGCTCTCTCTGCCCTTAGCTGCTAGCTTTGACTTAAGCACAGATTGGGTAAGCACATATGTCAGCTCAAAAATTTTTAATGACTACCCACTGCCTACCAGGGTGGTTCTCAAACCTTGATACACATTAGAAGAACCCAGTGAACAAAACTCCTGATGCTCCGGCCCCACCCAACACCAATTAAATTAGAATGTGAGGGATGGAACCGTGGTATCAGTAGTTTTTCAAACATCCTAGGCCTGTTCCTCACATTTTTTCCACAAAGGACTCTATTAAGGGAACGCCCAGAACCTCAATCATGATGGATGGTCCTTATGCCTAGAATGCCCATCTCCTCTTCTCCTCATGCCAAGACCCCATCCACTTCTTCTTCCAGGTAGGATGACGTAGGTGGAAACCAGCTATGGCTCCTGCTGCAATAACTTGGGAAAAATGGATAAATGCAAATATCAAGACATCAGATAGGTCTGGAAAGTAACAGGACTGAAAGAAAGAAGATTCTAGAGGAAAGAACCATTCCTAGACAAACTTCTTTTCTCTCAGTGGCCCTTTCCTTCTCTAAGGCATTTGATGAGTCTGAGCAGTCTGACCTTGAGCTTGACACAGAGGGGGAGGCTGGACTAACATGAAGACAACTCCTCCGCTTGGGCTTGCGCGACAGACTGGAAACAGATGAGCCCCAGACACCCGGTGGCTTCCTCACAGGACACCTACTTAGTACTAGGGACACATGCAGGATTGGGGGTATCGCTGGGCTGGCGAGATGGTGTGAAATCTCCTGCAGTTGGAAGTGATTCAATTCCCACTAGCAGGAAGGGCCCACAACAGCACACAGGAAGGCTCACTTCTGAGACATCTGAAACCAGGAGTGGACTGAGTCATACCTGAGACTTGAACACAGCCCTGCCCCTAATCAATTCTTGATGGAATGGAGGTGATCGCCCCTTCACCCTGTATGCCTACAGAAGAAAGGCTCAGGCATCCTGTTCCTACGCTTCTTCGGTACAGCGTCTGGCACACTAGTAAAAACAATCCCAACAGCTGCATCCCGTGTTTCTCTAGAAGTCCTGGGGAGAGCACCAGGCCTCGTGGGCTACTGCAGAAGGGAGCGAGCAGGACCAAGGAGCGAGTCCTGAGGATCTCACTGGGCAGCAGCTGGGAGGAGCCAAGAAGGCTCTCTGGAGCATTGCAGATCCGCCTCTTGAGGCTTCTAGACTGTTTGGGGTGACTTTGAGGAGGCGAGGAGCTGGAAAACTTGCAATAGCCAGTGAGCCTGAAAAAATTTGTTCTTTGTGACAGCTAGAGTCACCTGGGCATGGTGAGAGGGACTGAGCTCCTTTTGTCAGCAAAAGGATTCAGGCAACAGAAAAAAACAAAACGCCAGCACCGCAAACAGGTCAAGATAAGGCCTATACAGCTAATGCGTGGCCTTCTGGCGTCCATTAGGATTGTGAAACACCAACCGCCCCCACGGCAACAATGTGAAAACTGTGTTGCTACTTCCTAGGGAGCAGGGTCCAAGTCACACTACTAGAAGATACATGCTTTCACTCAACAGCGCCAGACTGTGTTAACCCCAGAAAACGATGCTCCTTTGAGTGAGGGTACTTGCTTCCCGGACAACCAGAGGAAAAACCAGCGACAACTCTGTCTTGCTGGGCAGTGTGGCTTCCTTCAACACCCGGTGAGCCTGGACCTGGGCTTTGAAAAAAGCTTCTAGAGAAGGCTGTATGGAGGCTCAGAGGCGAGAGTAAGAAAGCGCTGACGGAGAAAACCCTCTTCAAGGGTCCGGAGTCCACGAGGCCCCCGTAACACCGAGATGAAATCATTTCTGTTTACCTGGTGTAGCTCTACTCCTATTTTCTACTTCCTCTTGAGTCAATTTCCGTATTTTGTCTTTCTAGGAGTTGTTCCCTTCACCGGTTACCTGATTTGTTGGCACAAGGTCGCTCATGACGCCCTCGCGCTCCTTTCCACTCCTGTAAGGCCGGTAGTACTACTTCTCCGTTTTGCTATCCAGACTTTAGTCATCTGACGTCCCCTCTTCCTCCATCTAGTTCACGGTTTGTCAAACTTGCTCACGTTTTCAAAGCAGCAGCTGCCGGCCTGCAGATTTGCTGTTTTCCGTCGCATCCACTCCTGCCGTGATCTTGACTCCTGCCCCTGCGCCGGGTCGTCCGCCCTTCCTTCCCACGCCGCAGGTCGCCGCGGACGCGCTCCTCGGGGCCCGCACCCGCGCGGCGCAGGCCGGGTGCGCCCGTCTCCCTCCCGCCACGGGCGCTCGCTCGCTCCTCGGCGACCGCGAGCCCTCCTCATCCCGAGCGCCGTCCGAGTGCCGCAAACCGGGATCCCGCGGCTTGCTTCCCGTTTCGCTGACCCGCCCCTCTCCCGCTCCGCGGGAACGGTCACGGGCAGCGCACGGCCCGCCCGGAGAAGGCGCGCGCACGGAGAGACGGGCGCCCCGGGCCCCCGCACGTCCTCACTGACCCGCCCCTGAGAGCGCCGCCGTCGAAGCGCCCCCCACCCCCGCGCCCGGCGGTTTCTCCGCGGCCTCCGGGCTCTGCCGTCGGGGCCCCGTCAGGATGCGCCTGCGCGTGAGGCTCCTCAGGGGCCGCCCCGAAGGTGACCTTGAGGGCCCCGGGCGGCCCCGAGAGCACCTCTCCCCTGCGGGCCAAGGCGGGAGGCCGCCCCACGGGGGCACGTCGGCAAGGCGGCGAGGAGGAGGCCAGCGTCGGGGACGCCGAGACACACGACCGCCGGGGCACGTGAACGACCTGGCGCCCTCCTCCCTCTGACCCTGGACGGCGCGCCGCATGCCGGGACCGCAGCTCCGCGACGCCCGCGTTGTATGCCGGGACCAGCCGTCTAACGACACCGAGCCTCAGCGCCTGACGAAGCCGTGGCACGGCGGCCCGCATTGCATGCCGGGCCTCGTAGTTCTCACGTCGCCGGGCCTGAGCTCGTGACGGGCGGGGCTGTGGGTCGGCGGCCCGGGTTGCATGCCGGGACCCGTAGTCCCAGGACGCCAGCGACCCTAGGGCAGATGGGGCGTGTGGTGACACTGTTCTTGCCAGGCCCACCCCGCACGGTGGTCCTAGGACGCTTCCGGTACTCGGGCCGGCGCAGCGCCTCTCGCGCCCGCGTGGGCGTGTGTTTACCCGCAGGCCCCTCGGCGCACGCGCACGTACGCGGCGTCACGTGATATTGCACGCCGTCCCGGAAGTCGGCGCGGGCCAGGGCGGCGGGTGGAAGCCGGTGCCGGAGCGGG